CCCCCCCCCCCCCCCCCCTTTTGTTTTCAAGATACAGGAAATGTTATCATGGACCATTTTAGATTACACACAGCATTCAGTGGGTGAGACCCTCCCGACAGTAAATTTTGAAGAACAATTAGGGAGTTATAACTGTGAAGAGGAGCTCAGACCTGCAAAATTGCTCAGTAGTTTATATTTCCTAATCCTGAGTAATTCACCTCCTCCACAACATTAAAATTAATAATCTAGCATGCAAGGAATTAATCTCTTTACAGTAGCAGAACAACTGCCCCAGTCAAAGTGACAAATTCAGTAAGTGCTCTTTTCAACAAGCAATTTTTTCTGTTCCACACATTATAATTGTGTGTTTGAGATACTGCAGCAGTGTGGCCTCCTGGCAGGTGAGCCAGCTGAAGGGAACTGAAACATTTTCTCAGTCACTAATCTAATTTGGTGAGGGTAGAAGGCATGTTAACATCTCCATCAGCCCTGCACCTGGATCCTCAACTCAAGTGGAAAGGCAGTTCAGTCTCCTCAACTGTTGGTCTGATAATTTCTTAGCATTTGCCCATTGTTGGTTTGTCAGATGTTTTGTTAACACATCTAAATCCTTCTGCTGCATTTTTTTATCCATCTGTATTCCTACATCTCTTTCTTTTATTGCTCCTATGATGCTGATACACAGAAATGATAAAGCTCTTCAAGTGACTACGTATTTTAAACTTTTGACACAAGGTGGTGTTTACACAGCATTCTCTTCATCACAGTGCAGAAGAAACAGACCCTTTAGTGATTTATAAACCCTTGAATCTGACATTTTCATATCAGAGACCCACTGATTCTGACAAATGAGCCAACATTGGCATGCTCCATCTTTTTAATTTTTCTTTGCTCCCAGTCATCAGCTCTGGTTTAGTCTATGTATTTCTTCCTCCTACTTCTGAGTACTTTACTCCTGTGAAAAATATAATTATATTAATGGCTATTACCTTCTGGAGGTCTAAATTTTATTCCAATAGAATAACAAAGACAGCAATAGACCATTTCTGATTAGATTTTATCTCTGCCCATTGGGAAAAAAGCCCAATTTGCACAGATAAGACCTGGACAGAATGAGAGCATTAAATGCCCTCTCCGTCAGAGACAACTAAAATCTGTTGTCTTTCTGGTTTACAACTGCCTGTGAAAGGGCTTTGCCATCAAGAGATCTGCCAGTAGCAAAACCCAGCCTCCAGCACATCCTGCTTGCTCCCTGCTGGATTTCTACCAGCCAGATCATAGTGCAGAGGCAGCACTTGTAACACCGGTGAGCAACCTCGGCCAGCTCCATGCAACTTCATCCTGAAAAAGGTCTCCAAGCTCTTTGGTATAGGTCTTCAAGAGGCTGCAGGGTGAGTAGAAATGGCAGGAATTGGCCATCATCGTCTTAGACTGAACTCAATGCATGAGCACTAGCAATCACTCGATCTCTCTGGAATACCCAGCACAAAAATTCAGCCTCATCTCCCAAGTCTTGATAATGCCTGTCCTTACCAATGCCATCTTGATAAATATTGTGCACATAACCTAAATATTTATTGAGTTTTGACCTATTTAGACTCCTGAATGCTTCTGAATAACGCTAATATTCAAGACTGCTAAAACTTCATCTTAGCTGCTGATGAGCTAAAACTCATCATAGCTGCTGAGAAAATCACAACCCTTTAATAGCCTGCAAGCTGAGCTTCTGGACACAGTGTCAGAGCATCTTTAGCATCAACAATTCATCCAGTAGCTGCAACTTGTTGTAGGTGTTCCTGTACTTGTGCACTGGGAAAAACTCCCTTCAGTACACATTTTGATTGCCCAGTTCTCTGCTTGCTGAGCGAGGCAGCACAGCCACATCACACTGATGCTCATCTTAGCACTGGTCACCAAAAAATGCAAAGTTCAGCTCCAGTTCTCCAGGTAGGAAATTCCTTCCTGAGACAGGCCAGTGCTTTCTGTCTCTGACAACACCTTCCTTTAACATCTGCATCCTCTTGGAGCAGTGATGCTATTACCAATAGAAGGAAATCCACAGGAATGGATTAAACCACACCCCTTGCTCACATACTAGACAGGAATGGCTACAGGCTTTGTGAGTGGAAACCAAAGACAAATCTAATTTCTTAAACTCAGCATTTCTTAAGCAGCTCTTTGTGCATATACAGGGAGTCTTAAGAATTACTATCTCATTGCCTATTCCAAAGCTTAGTGAGGAGAGGAGTGGAGAGGAGAGGAGAGGAGAGGAGGAAAACAGGCAGACTTTCTCCTGAGACTGCTATTCCTCCTGTCTAATTCTGGGAAGGCTCTTCTGGACCTGGTGTCGCAGGCTCTCCCATCAGCAGCCTCTGCAATGACTCTGGTGACTGCTTCCTCTCCCCTCTCTGGAGCCACCTGGAACAGGTCTTAGCTGGATGGGGTTCCCGCAGGACTTTGTGATGTGAACAGCCTACTGTGAAAACTGAAAACCAGAGCAAAGCTAAAAGGAGCTTGGTGTTTCCTCTCTGAGGTCAGGAAGAACAGCTTCCAACTTTTCAGTCATGTGTTGTTGCTCTGCCTTGTGCTCACAGAGTAGTCATATTTGTCTTG